CCTTTGGTTTTGAAATCCTCAAGCTCTTTTTTTTTCCAGCTAAAGGACTAAGAAATACCCAAAAAGGTTGTAATGGAATGAAAAGTATTTTAATTAAACCCAAAGTGCATGAATTATTCTCAATAAACATAAACAGGATATGTTATGATGTCACAATTCCAAATATTTAATCATATATAATGATGATGATGACTGCGGGGCATTTTCGGAGCTCTTTACTGTTTTTCGCTTATAGCTCGCTTATCAATTAGTTTCAACTAAACTATCTTTTTTAGAAATATCAAAAACAAAAATCGCTTGCAGTCACATCTCAATAAAGTAATCTCTAATTATGGGTAGTGTTAAAAAGACCATGTTATAATAATTTATATTACTTAAAGTCCCGCAGTGGGTTGATCGTTAAGACACGGTTCCTATCAGATCCCCAAAGTCAAGCATCACTGGCTGCGGTCAGTGTGCGGATGGGTGACCACTTGAATCAGTCTGCGTAGGGACTGAGGGTGTGCGGTATGGGTCCTCGTTAAACTGTGCTACAGTAAAGTGCTCGACTTCGCGTGCAGGTCGTCGGGCTACCAAAGCGGGGGTGCCATCCCCTCTGCAGAGGATCAAAATTGTGATGGCATGTCTTCGGATCATCCTCAGGGATGTTTCCCAGACCGTCGCCAATAACCCATTGTGCAGCTCTAGTGCGACGTAAATGAACAACAACAACAATATATTACTTAAAGCTGTAAACAAGAAAATATTAATTATGTTATCGTTTGAATATTTGAAAAAAAAAGATTAGTTTGCAGGTTTATTTATATCATTGGTTAGTTTTAAGCGAATGAGATAATTCAATTTTTAAGCTTCTCCCCCAACGATCTAAGGGAAATTTTTGCACAGTTTGTTGTTGTTGTTGTTACTTTACGTCGCACTAGAGCTGCACAATGGGTGATTGGCGACGGTCTGGGAAACATCCCGGAGGATGATCCGAAGACATGCCATCACCCCAGACCTTATGATGTATCTAAAATGCCTAACCCAGAAAGGAGAAATTATATTTCTTCCTTACAGCGCACGAGGAAGATTTTATTGCATATCAACCCCTGAAGCTCATACAATAAATCATGTGTATCTTTTATCCAATTTGCTACGTGTCACTACTTTACCAGCTCTTGTTCGTATCATTGTTGGTCCAAAAGCAAGCGTTGCGTTGCCCTTGACAAATATTCTACAACTTGATGAAATTCGACGTGAGACAATAATTCTTGGTTGTACTATGATTGATAATGAACCAACTCTTCTTGAAATAAATGCTAGCTCAGAGTTTTCTTTTATTAGAGTGAAAAACGAAGCAGCCGTTCAGATGTCAGAGGCATATCAGCGTATGTGTCATATGTGTGTAACAGAAGGAGACAAATGGCGACAGCAAATACGAGTGGCTCATTATGTAGTACCTAAAAAAGAACCATTTAAAATGATTTCAAAACTTCCATTTATGCCTNCAGAACAATTAAAAATTTTAAAACCATGATAAAAAAGAAAATAGTACTCACCTTTCGTTTTGAAATCCTCAAGCTCTTTTTTTTTCAGCTAAAGGACTAAGAAATAGCCAAAAAGGTTGTAATGGAATAAAAAGTTTTTTAATTAAACCCAAAGTACATGAATTATTCTCAATAAACATAAACAGGATATGTTATGATGTCACAATTCCAAATATTTAATCATATGATGATGATGACTGCCGGGCATTTTCGGAGCTCTTTACTGTTTTTCGCTTATAGCTCTCTTATCAATTAGTTTTAACTAAACTATCTTTTTTAGAAATATCAAAAACAAAAATCGCTTGCAGTCACTTCTCAATAAAGTAACCTCTAATTATGGGAAGTGTTAAAAAGACCATGTTATAATAATTTTACAGTACTTAAAGCTGTAAACAAGCAAATATTAATTATGTTATCGTTTAAATATTTGGAAAAAAAAAGATTAGTCTGCACTTTTATTTATATCAATGGTTAGTTTTAAGCGAATGAGATAATTCAATTTTTAAACTTCCCCCTCAACGATCTAAGGGAAATATTTGCACAATTTTTAGAATGCGAGGCTTAATTTGCTACTAGTTGTTACTGTCCACATTTCAGGATGATAGAAGAAACAGTTCTAGAGTTATAAGAGAAACACCCAGACACGCAAACTCTTCATTTTTTGATTATAGAAAATGACTAAGAAGACGCTTTAATTCAAAATTCGAAATTTCGTTTCGAGATATCATTATATTTAAGAATCATTATCATCATAGTATTTCAAAACATTTAAAGAATCTAAATGTAGATTTTAGGGACCTAGCGGTACCAACCACACAGCTTTGAGGTGTGGATGTAGCGGATTCGAATCCCGCCCTTACCAAGGATGCATCTTCGTATTATCGTTCTCTGAATTGAATGTTCCATTTTTCTATTGCCGTAACGCAAGCTTGCATGCATATGCACCAACAAATAACGCAACATAATGCATATAATATCAACATAATGTATATATGATAAATAAGGCATACATATGATAATATGTATGATGATTAGGCTGCAGAGCCTCCTCCCTGGTCGAGCGGTATCACCCACCAAGTGCTGCGCGAATCATTGAGGTAGCGGGTTCGAATACCGCTGTAATTCTGAATATATTTTCATGCTGTCCTTCTCTCTATTGTACTATCTGTCTCATTGAAGTTTATAAGAATTGAACACACAAGCCTTAATTGAACGCACGGGCCTGAAAATATATGTTGTACCAATAAGCAAACTAGGTTTATCAGACTTCAATTTTGTACACAAACTTGCAAATGTATGTAGGTAAAAAAAATTCTAGACCAGCAGTTTTTAATTTTTCTTCATTTATGGATAACCCTAAATAATCAATACTAAAAGAAAACACAAATATTTTTAATTCTAAATAGATAAAACTTCTTTGAAAAAAACGTGCTAAAAAGCAGCTGAAATTTCAAATAAAAGTAGCAATAAAGGAAACGAAGGAAATAAAAATAAAAATATGACCACCGAAGCCGACGTCTTCAGGGGATACCGGCCTCGGTAGCCATAAAACAAAATAATTTCTAATTGAGGGAGAGGCAAATGCCTAAATTCATTAAAATAATCGTGATCGTTATAATCTGTGAAATACTATTTTAAAATGTTTAATTAGAGGAATGAAGAATTTTCATCGTTCTAGGTTTATTAGGTCTGATGTCCCACAGTTAAAATTTGTAAAAATTCCTTGTGCAATATGTAGTGTAGTCATGAAATTTGTTTTTTGTGCATACGTATATACTGAAAATGAATAAAATAAGACGAATTATGGTTCCCATCTAAATTGTTATTTTCATAATTTGTTCAATACATTGTTGTTAGAAAAACAATATTCCTTTTTAAAAAAAATTCCATGTTTATTTCGTTGGCATTTTATTTTAAATAATTTCATAAATGCAATCGAAAAACTAATTAAACTATGAATTATTAGTAAAGTTTGGAACCTTTGTAGTTGAGTGAAATCCAAACCCCTAAAACACCATTGGCGAAAGTGCATTCCGATCGTATATTTAGCCTTTGACAATCGAACCCCGGTCTAAATCGCTGTTGATGACGAAAGCTGTACTCACTACATTGGCGGGAAAGCCCCTGCGATATACAAATTTTTCAAGCATGTGGCATGACACGCTTCCAGCCAAATTATTCGAAATTTTGAAGCATGTTGATATATGTCATTGTTCATACTTGCTGTAGCCTTAATTTAGAGCTAAGCTGAACCATATTATCGCTCTTCTTAAGCTTTAAAAACTCTCAACTTGAACGGAAAAATTATTCAATTTTACATCTTAAGGTAGCAGAAAATTTGCCTTGAATTGTGGCTCAAGAACCTATATTATGAATCAATATGGAACCAATTTTTCTATGAGTGCAAATGAATTCTACTATTTTTTTGTTGTTCTAAAATCTGTTTCATTTCATTCCCAATACGAAAAACCATCGCAAAAATTGTAAATACTGGCAGCTATGTCACTAACAAAGAGAGAAATAAATGTAAGGGACATGCAAGTGAAAATCAAAAACACTGCTGTTACGTGTCGATGCTGCCATCTGTAGAGTAGAAAAAAATGCATATTGAAAACGCACAGGTTTAACCAGCTGCGTCGGCGAGCTCTTTATTCTGGACACAGCTTCAAACACGTACTTAAAATTATGGACACAGCTAACAATGCGTGTTTAAGAAAATGGACACTGCAAATATTTTTTTATAATTATTATTTTTTTTACAAAGTTTATAACGATCTCGTTTATTTACAGCATATTTACAATTACATTTTTACAAATTGTTTGCCAAACAACACTCATGATCAGCAAAACCGCTACAGATTCGTAATTCATTCTATTTTAGATCGTAATTTAAAAGTACTGTAGAACTTCTTTATCACATATTGTCGCTATTTCCATTCGATAGTAAACGATCGTTTAAAAAGTACCAGATGTGTCGTTGCCACAAATGTATTTCTTTTCAACAGTAGGCGTTGCACACAATGAAAGGAAATACTCATTATTTTTTATTAATACAGGGTTATTCATAATTCCCTCCGGGGTTTCGAAGCGTTATAGTAAAAAACGAAGACGAATATGGCAAAAAAGAACATATGAAATTATTCCGAAAGTTTTAATTTAAGCAGTTACCGGTAGATGGCAGTAACATCTACCACTGAAGCCAGTTGCAGTAAAGAAAAATGGCGTTTACAGGAGGAGGGAATTATGAATAACCCTGTATATAAATGAGGGATAAAGCATAAGGTTTGCAATTTTTTGAAGGTACTAAAATGCTAAGGTAGCTACACTGAATTGAGTGAAACAAACAAAAGTTGCTATTCTATTCTACGAATGTTTAGTTATCTAGTGCTAGATTAATTAGAATTGTAGCTGAAATGTGTTTCAGGTGCTTCTTCCTTTATTTAGAGGAATTTATTACTTTTTTTTATATCCTAATACTCTCTAAATCTGTAAATACACGAGAACTGACCATGATATTGACCTTGATCAGGTCGTTGATTTTTAGTTGGATTTTCTTATCCATCCGCTTTGGCACGTACTTGTCTCAACCGTTGGTACTCGCTGTTGTCAAAATAATGATTCGAAGATAGCGCTGTCAACGAATATTTTCAATTAGGGTTCTTATCACTGAACCACGCAAGTTCGTAAAATAATTGTTCTGTTCTGTTACGGGTACCAGGCACGTGTCTGGGACGTGTTACTTGGTTCTTTCTTGAGCTGAAAAATCTCATTTGGCCTTCCCCTTCCAACTTCCGAAGAATCTGAAGCTTGCGAGCCCAGTTTCCTGAATGCAGGTGGACTTCCACGCAAAGATGGTTTATTTTCTGTAATAAACGTGAGAAGTAATAATATTATAAAATTTCTCATATTGGTAATATTGTTTGAATTAATAAATCCTTTTCAAACTAAATAAACATACCACAATAGAGGTATAGTGCGGCTTTCAGGAGAACTCTTCCAGACACCCGTCTCGCGTTGTGGCGGGTACTATGGTTACGAGGAAAGGTCTCTTTGAATAGGGGTGTGGAGTGAATAGTTCTGTCTTAATCTTAGCGTAGGTCGTCGTGAGTAATCGACACCATCTTTCCTCCATTTCACCCCCATTAGAAATGTACTCTCGTCTGTTGCCATAGCAGCAGACAGCTCCAGACTTTCAGTCTGGGGGAGTTCTCCTCAAAGCCGCACTATAGAAACAAAACGGGAAACTTTAAATTCTTCGTATTGCTTTTACTTCCGTGTTGTTAGTTTTATTAGTTTCTTGGCCTGAGAAAATAAAACTAACAACACAAACAAGGTCAATCAACAAATAAAGCATCTCATAGGCTAAAGCAGGACGGAAAACTTTAAATTCCTTGTATTGCCCTTGTGGAGTTTTATTTGCTTCTTAAAAATAATTTTCTGATTTGTAAGAATAAGCAATATACGATTTCATAAAAATTTTATGATATTTCAAAAAAACTAAAATTCAAGTTAGAGAAAAATTTTTCCAAAAGAATTTTGAAAAAAGTACGGATCGATTTACAAAAGCAACAATATGCCCTTGATTTGAAAAGATCTGCAAAGGATGTTTTATGACTTAAACAACCTCTTATTACTATAATTAATAAAGTTTTGAAGTGTTTCATGAATTGTAATACAGTTGATTGATATTAAATACCTTGAATAATTTCTTTTCCAACATATCTTCCAGAACCTTCCACTCATCGCCTTCGATGTCTAACTTAAGAATATCAAGGGTTCGATTTTGATGACCAAGGAATTCCATAATATCATCCAGGGTTCTCATCTTCCATGTCACCAACTCTTTTCGTAGAAATCTAATGAAAGAGTGGAGGGAAAAAAATCTTTAAATCTAGTAGCATTCGTGGTTTAGATCCAGTGGTACTCGCAACCCTACTCGGTACATGAAAGGGTCAACGCTGGCGTAGGGTTGAAGGTGTAAAGGCGGTTACCGAAGATATTAGGTATGCAGTTAAAGCACTTAATTGTCCTCTATTGAATTTTCTTCTATATTATTGTTTAGGGTCGGGATAGCCTGGTTGGTAGGGCACTGGGCCCATGTCCAAGAGTTCGTGGGCACGATCCCCCCCGGCCGAAGACTCCCCGTGTAGCAAATGGTGACTGATGCACATTAAATCTGTCGAATCGCAAAGTCCTCCATGCTCCCATAACAAATCAATACTTTTGGAGGTACTGATCCGGAAGTTTCCTTGTCTTCTGGATTGGTTAAAAAATTACAAGGTTACGGAGTTGAGCATCAGTAGTCGTAAACCCGAAATTGGGTCGGCTGTTCAACGACGGTTATAAAAATTAGTTTCTAGCTTTCTTTTAAAGTACATTTTTTTGTGAAAAATGGAGAACAGACATGCAAGTTGTTCCAGTGGGGTGATACCAAACAGTAGAGCGTGTTAAATTAATCGATTTATTGCGTTTTAAATTAATAGGTCAAGTACAAGTACGGGAGTTTCAGTTGGCAGAAGTGAAAGTTCTAACTACAATATTGCCATATCTATTACAATAGAGAGCTTACTGTGCGTTGAAAACACTAATTCTTAATCTGTGATAATTATCACGAGACTGCTTCGGACAAACTTGTGTTGTCATGAAGATGAGGTGTTTTTTTAAAAAAAATTGAAACTGGTTCGAATCTGTATCATAACTATAATTTGCTAAAAATTTGTGAATACGTGTATAATTTTGTGAACATTCTTTTGTTATGAAGCTAAATATCACAGACGGACCCTAAATAAACAGTTTAATTAGAAAATTTGCAAGAAAATATCTAAATTATTGCGAAATTTTGAGAGGAAATAGCACCTAATGTCTTTCTCACGGAAGACTCGGCTTGACTACATTTTTGCGACAAAATAATAACTATGGTAACTTCGAGTTTCAAAGCGATAGGACCAATATTTACGGGGTAAAACGGGAAACGCCTAGAATCATATCAAAAGTTGCGGGATTTCGTCGCCAAGCCTACATAAATAGGAGTGTGCTAAGTATATAATGCTATTAATTAACTCAGACAATATTAGTAATTAACTCAAATGCACTGCGAAAACATTTGGTGTATAGTATCGAAAGCTTTTGGAAACATTGTATATAGTACAGAACCGTAGTAATACTAAATATAGTACAGAACCGTAGTACAGAACTAAATATAGTAACAAACTAAACAAACTAAATATAGTACAGAACCGTAGTAATAGTGCAAAGAATTATATAAAACTAACGAAATAACAATTGTTTTTTTTTATTTTTATGTCTGTTGTTGAACAGCCGACCCAATTTTGGGTTTACGACTACTAATGTTCAACTCCGTAGCCTTGTAACTTTGAACCAACCCAGAAGACAAGGAAACTACTGGATCAGCACCCCTAGAGGTATTGTTTTGTTATTGGAACATGGAGGACTTTGCGACTTGACAGATTTAGCGTGCATCAGTCACACGGGGAGTCTACAGCCGGTGGAGATCAAAGCTACGACCTCTTGGAAATCGTCACGATACTACGACCTCTGGGTTATCCCGACCCAAAAGTCACTATTAGAAATAGTGGGGCTTTATTCCCAAGTCTTTCAATTGCAAACTAAGCTTAATCCTTCAGGAAATTAAAGAATATTCTGCTCTGGAGGAACATGGAGGACTTTGAGACTCGAACGATTTAACTTGCATCAGTCACCATGCATCAGTCACAGTCTTCGACCGGCTGGGATCAAACACACGAACTCTTTGGACATGGATCCAGTGCCCTACCAACCAGGCTATCCCGGCCCAATAACAATTGTTTGAAAGAATAAAAGCGAATAAATTACTGAAAACGTGTTTTTTTTTTAAACGAAGTGTTTTTACAATGAAGTCATAAAGTGATACTAGTGCACATGAAAATATTTATTGTCGGTAAATGAACAAACAAAAAAGAATAAATAAATCTGCAACAGTGAAAAAGTAAATAAAAAATAAGACTGGGAAGAATTTTGGTTTATCTCAACGTAAATATTGTCAATTATACACCAAAGTGACCATAAGAACTAGTGTTTCACCTTAAAAATGCTTTCATTGGGTATCATACTTTCTTAGAAGGAAACTACAAGAAAAATATAAATCCTTTATCAACGATCGAGAAATTGGTATTTTTTTTCAAGATTCGGTATATCCTCTCGTGTTTGAAATATTACTTTTCATATTTGGTCGAAACCATTTTTTTGTGTAACCTTTAATGTTCATTTTACTGCGTTTTGATTAACTCGTTTTCGCGTGACTGAGGGTGGAACGTTCCATTAAAACTTCGACCACTCTCCGATTAGCACCTAGATCTTTATCTTGCTTAAATCTAGAACACTGTACCTGACCAAATGTAATTATCAATCGTTTCTTGATAGTGACAAAAGCAACTTATCGTTATCTTGTCACCGATCTAAATCTCGACAATTGGTTAGAACGTTCACTTTTCCATTTGAACTTAATACCTGACAACTATACAAGTTAAAACTGCTTCTGGAATACTGCGAGCAAACATTTGCATCATTTTACTGCCATCAAAACCAATGTTCAACTCCGTAACCTTGTAATTTAAAACCCAATCCAGAAGACAAGGAAACTCTTAAATCAAGTACCGGGATGAATTTATCTGCGTGGAGGATTTTTTGATGGAAGTAACCCCTATTTGCGTTATATGGAGAGGAAAACCGCAACCCTCCCACAGTTAACCTGAAGAGAAGGAGACTTTAACTCATGATCCATCTTCCATTGAGGATATTTTAGGCCAGCATTGTGGTTGATTCGAACCCTGGTCACCTCATTAGGAGCCGAGCGTTCTATCCCATGAGCCACCCTGGCTCAGAAGATAATTTTTTATTTTATTTCATAACCATCGTTGAACAGCCAAACCAATTTTTGGGTTTATGAATACTAATGTTAAACTCCGCAGCCTTGTAATTTTGAACCCAATCCAGAAAGTAAGGGAACTCATGGATCAAGTATTGGGAGAAATTTGCTTTCGTTGAGGATATTTTGATGGAACTAATCCGCATTTTCGTCGCATGGAGAAGAAAGTCACGAAGAGCTCCCACGGTTAGTTTGACGGTAAGGGGACTAACCCATGATCCGTCTATCACTGAGGATATATTTTATGTCAGTACTGTGGTCAGTGCAAACCAGGTGCGAAATTTGTATCGATCAGCCATCGCTAGGATTCGAACCTGGCTCACCTCATTGGAAAGCGAACACTCTATTCCCCGAGCTTCACAACTCGGAAATTAATATTTTATTTTATTTTATAACCGTCCAGTGGACAGCCAACCCAATAAACTTCTGTCAACCATCGAAAATTCCAGTCACGTCTTTAAAAAGTGAAGCCCCCTATGATTATCGCCTTAGGTCTAACGAATTACTTTCGTCTGTTTAAACTACTTGAAAAATGAAGCGTGTAAAAATAAGATCAATGCTGTAACACTGTCCAAAAGACTTACCTATCTTCATTAAAGTCAGATATTCCAAAAGGATGGAACCATATGTTGGCTTTGTGTTTGTGGCTGCTCATTTTCAAACTTGGATCAAAAGTGTAAACTTCACATCCGAATTTTACCACTTCCTCCTCAAACGACCATTCATCATTTCCACTACAAAAACAAGAATAGTCGCTGCTAATCTGTGCAAATTCTTATCTATTTACCGAAGATTTTTAAGTGGATCGCACATTGTATTTGGGTGGATTTCAGGTACAACCAACTGCTTAGATGCTGTTAAAAAGTGTCAACATCAATGCTGAGAATAAAATAGGCACTATTTTTAATGGGTACCGATGATAAAGCTAGTTAACAACACTAAATGTAATTCGGAAAAATACAATTGCTTAGAGGCTATTGACATTCCATCATCAATGTTGAGATAAATATTTAAACTGACGCTCTTATTTAATCTGCACTGAAAATGAAATTCAGGCTATACAGGTGTAATATCATTGTGAATAAGAAACATACAACTGCTTAGATGCTGTTATCATTCCATTACCATTATTGCTGAGATAAATATTGAAATTGATACTCTTATTTAATTTGCATTGAGAATGAAATTCCCAATTTACAGCTGTAATAGCATCAAATGTAATTCAGAAACATACAACTGCTTAGATGCTGTTATCATTCCACTACCATTATTGCTGAAATAAATATTGAAATTGATACTCTTACTTAATTTGCATTGAGAATGAAATTCCCAATTTGCAGCTGTAATAGCATCAAATGTAATTCAGAAACATACAACTGCTTAGATGCTGTTTTATTCCATTACCATTATTGCTGAGACAAATATTGAAATTGATACTCTTATTTAATTTGCACTGAAAATGAAATTCCTGATTCACAGCTCTAATAAGCATTAAATGTAATTCAGAAACATACAACTGTTTAGATGCTGCTGACACCCACCATTACTAGTACTGAGACAATACTAAATCTCATAATTGCAATTCAGAAACATACAACTGTTTAGATGCTGTTAACACCCACTATCACTAATGCTTAGACAATACTGAATTTCTTAGTTTAATCTAAGTTACAAGGAAAATTACTGATTACTGATTGTTTTAAAATTCAGAATGAAGTCCAGCTATCGATGTTTTGGGCGTTCTCTAGCTTTGTTACCGATTAATTTGTGCTTGAACCAATTGGTAGCTGAGCTTATGGACGTACAAATTTCCAATTACAAACTATTAACCATCATAATTTATAATTCTCTAGCATCTCTGTGGTAAATAACAAAAACTTGCAAGTAGTAATTCTCTCTTATCTTTGTAATTAATTAAAAACCTTCGCAATTTAAAATTCGCCTTTATCTTATTGTTAAATTACAAACTATTATGCTTTGCAATTCTTATGCATTGATAAGTTAAATAAGAAACTATACCAATTTATAATTTTTGTGTATCTCTGTGTTAAATAACTAACCATTGTAGTTCTGTATCCCTCTTTTTCATCTTATATTTGAACGCTGAAGAAGTTGCTGCTTCATTTTGGAACCAAAACAATCGTTGTGTCTGCTTAATATGACCTTATTTGGGTTTTTTGATGTTTTTATAACGTAATTCTAACGTATTTAGGGACGTTCTTGAGCGAGGTGTACGAAAACAATCACTTCCAACAAAGTAACTTAATGGATGGCTGCTAATAAACAATGAAAACCGTTTTCTTATCGTCGAAGATAAAAAAAAAGTCTTTACGCAACTAATTAACCTCATTTAACGTATATAGATGGGCATAATAATAGATCTCATATGAAAAAAAAGTAGCGCATCTATGCGAGGTGATTATTCCTTTTAGTCGCTTGGACGATTATGTAGTATTATTTTCCCTTTACAATTTCAAGTAAATAACGCATTTAAATATCTCGGTTTTTTATAACTTTATTGCTGCTTTGAAGCTGATGTGAAACTAAAATGTATTTTTTTATCTAAAATTTTTTCTCTCTATGTCTACACTTTAAATATCAAACATGTTTTTGTTAAAACAATAATTTTGACATATGGCGATCAAGCATAGCAAAATGGTCCATAAAGCCACCACATTGCCTTGAATGTTGACAAGCAACTCTTAGTATATTAAGATGGTAGTATTATTAATTGTTCCAGAGATCCATCAAATGTTCTAGACATCACATTTTAGTACATCGCCGTCAGCTAAGTGACTGATGTACTAAAATGTGATGTATATATTTATTTTGACATAAAAACTATATTTACTTATTCGTAAAATAAGGCATTTCGATTAGTTGCAACAATGATTAGGTTCTATTAACTGTACTATACTTATTTATTATCAAAATAAATGGTACTGATTAGTTGTAACAGTGAATGGTCTATTAATCATTTATGTCTAAAATACGAATATTTTTGTAACGTTTCCAGACTATTGTTTTAATTTCTATGGATACAACTCAAATAAGAAGCATGTTTTAGTCCCAAACAAAGAAAAATGTTAGAAAGCAAACAAAAACGTTTTTGGGTATTTTAAAGATTTACATTATAATGGTAATTATGTTTTACAAATATATTTCTGAAATATAAATAGGTTACCCCCTCATAGTTGTAAAGGGGTTTCTTGATTTTACACAGCTTCAATTAAGAGTGATTTGCATACAATCAGTCGAAATTTATAACAAATTGAGCCATGAACAGGTTAACTATGAATTACATTTTATAAGTTAATACATTTACATTTTATAAGAAATCGTTATAAATATCATTAATTTATGACTAAGATTATTAATTTTTGATTAAATGTACGACTTACCCAAAGGAGTAAACCAAGCAAGGTGGTCGCAGAGTCATCCCCAAATCTTGACAAATAATCTTATCGCCGTCTAGTCTGTTTTTATCATCTTTCTGACCTCCTAATGACAGAGCTGTATAACACAAAGTCTTCGGATGTTGTACGTAGTACAAGAGTCTCTCGAAATCTATAGCTGGAAGTATTTAGATATTTTGTTTTAAATTTGCGAGAACATATGCTATATTTTATTACATATTTTATAACCGTCGTTGAACAGCCGACTGAATTTTTTGGGTTTGCGACTACTAATGTTCAACTTCGTAGCCCTGTAATTTTGAACCTAATCCAGACGACAAAAGAACTCCTGGATCAAGTATTGGGAGAAATTTGCCTTCGTGGAGGACATTTTTGATGGAACGAACCCGCATTTACGTTACACGGAAAGGAAGACCACGAGAACCTCCCACGGTTAGCCTGAAGGCAAAGGGACTCAATCCCATTGTCCGTCTACCACTGAGGATATTTCTCGTCAGTACTGTGGTGGGTGCGAGCCGGTTGCAGAACTCCAATCCCAGCCACTACTGGGTTCGAATCCGGGTCATCTGGTTAGGAGGCGAGTGCTCTATCCCCTGAGCCATCGCGGCTTAAATGATATATTTTATAATATTCACGATTTAAGAATTGAGTTTGCAACGATATAAGATTTGCTAGTTTTAACTCTAACTAATAAAATATCAGTTTTAACGCTCGCTTTTCTGAATTGCATGTCTTTCGTTTCCTGTGTTAGGTTAATACACGTAAAATCAACGTTAACAATTTCACAGCATATGGTCTCCGAATTCGTATTTTATAAAGTATATGAAACACACTTAGATAGATATTTACGTTTTTAGAGTGTTTCTATAACTTAAATGAGAGAAACGTAACAAACAAGAACTAATAAAATAAATTGGAATTTATCTATTACGTCCTGAGTAAATTGTGGTAAATTCTGAATTTCACATTTCAAACTGCACTATTTTACAGTTAGTCTTTATTTTAGAGAGTTAACTTATTGAGTTGAACTTATAACTTATTATAACTTATTATGGTAAATCTAATAGTATGATGCATCATTGGTATAAACAATTGGTATAACAACAAGAAAAAAAATAAAAGTTGTGTATTAGGTGACCTAAATGTGTAACATGGTGATAATAGGGTACTTATTCTTTTCGGGGGGTGGTAAAAAACCTATTACCACTGCACCTATTTTAGACAAGGACCTTTGTTGGTATGAAAGGTTCTCAGAACAGTATTTATAACGGCAATAAAAGTAGTACTCAATACCGAATTTAATTAGGCATCGCTGGCGTCAGTATTAACTTGGCGATTTTTATGGCCTTCGAAATAAGTACCGATATTAGTTCATTCACCAAAAATGGTCATAAGAATATTAGTGTCGTTACTAATTTTAGAAATGCAATGAATTAATTTTTGTACTAGATATAAATAGAAATAAAAAAGTTTTGCATTAAAAAGCTAAATTTATAGAGGAAAAGTACTTATACATGTAGGAAAACCATAACAAATCGCCTTACAATTATTGACGCCTATGGTGCCTAACTAATTTTAGTAATAGATACTACTGCTATTACGTTAATTGGTGCTTTTAATGGGCACTAAATATACTAATACTTACTATAAGTATCTTGGTACAAATATTTGCATACCTGCCAACTCTTCCGGATTTTCCGGAAGATTTTATTTTCATATTTAAAGTGGTAGCAATACTCTGGTTATTCCAATTAACTTTTTGAATTATAATGATAATTATAAATGAGTTTGACCACCACTACATATAAATAATTACAATAAACATATTAAAGCATAATAATCCTTGCGCAAGCGAATTTCAACGGGATCAAAATATAAATATATTTTTGAGTCAGATTGTTTTTCGTTTATTGTTTTACAACCACTCTGAAAATCCATTCTCGGAAAGAGTGAAAGTTGGTAGGTATGTATTGGTATATTTAATGCACTTGACTATCAGGAGTTGACATGGGTTTGAAGTACAGATATTACTTTCAGCAGATGATCCACTGATTTGGATCACAGGTAGTATAGCAGACAATCTACCGCTCTAGATCACGCTGCTATGTAAAAATATATGAAAGTATTCGAATACAAAAAAAGAACGAATTAATTTACTGATTTAAAATTAAATGCAGTTTAATTTATGTAATTTAAAATTTTATCAAGTTTTCGATTCCATTTAACTCTACAAAAACAGAAGTAGAATTTATCTTTAAAAAGATCATTTAGCTTAAGAACAATCATCAGGAACAAAAAAAGCTCCAGTCGCTTCTAATGTTTTTGGATAAACGCAAGAAAATAATCAATATAGTAATAAATTATCGCGATATTGTGAATGCATAAAAATATCGCAAATATTTCTTCATTGCTATTAAATGCTGGATAAAGTTTGATATATTTTTGCTATACTTTAAGAAGAAAAATGAAACTGGCAGAATGACTGCATACGAACAAACATTTTTTTATCTATATACAGTCAACGCAGTATGATGACCTTTCTCACCGATGTTTTTTTAAATCAAAAGCATAAAAATATTGCAAATATTTACTCATAGTCCGTTTAATCCTTAATCCTAATACTGAGTAATCCTTAAAAATAATTTTATTTTATTTTATAATTGGCGTTGAACAGCTGACCCAATTCTGAGTTTATGACTATCAATGTTCAACTCCGTAGCCTTGTAATATTGTACCTAATCCAGAAGACAAGAGAACTCCTAGATAAGGCATATGGAACAAACTAGCCTTCGTAGAGCACTTTGTGATGGAACTAACCCGCATTTGCATTACATGGAGAAAATCATGAAAGTCTTCCATAGTTAACCCGATGGCAAGGGGATTCTAATCCATGACCTGAGGATGCTTTTACACTGTGGTCAGTGTGAGCCGGGAGTGCAAAATTCGTAACAACCAGCCATCGCTAGGATTCGAACCTGGGTTACATCATTGGGAGCCGAAAGCTCTATCCCTTGAGCCATCGTGATTATTGAACGCATTTTTTTAAATATTAATTCTTATCTAAGTAAAATTTTTTTAAAAACGCCTGGTAAAGGAAAGTCAAATGTCTGAAATATCTCACTTCAAATTTTGTTCACTTCAAAATTATTTGTAAAATTCGTAACAAACAACCACCGCTGGGATTTGAACCTGGGTTACATCATTGGTAGTCGAACGCTCTATCCTTTGAGCCATCGCGATTATTAAAAATATTAAGGAAACTAAACTGACAGAAAATAATTGACATGATTAATTTTTTTTAAATAATAATTCTTATCTAAGTAAATATTTTTTAAAAACGCCTGGTAAAGGAAAGTCAAATGTCTGAAAATATTTCTCTTAATACACATTATTAGATTAATTATGATTAATATTATATTATTAATTAATTATTGTATTATTAATAATTAATTATCAGACACTTTATTCATACACATTACTTAATAAACATTTTGTAGCTGCGGTACATCCTTATTAACATTTAATGAATTTAATTCAATTAAAGAAAATGTAAAGCTAGTTGTTTATCTTATCTCTCGCAAAGAAGTTATCGATTTGTTGGGAAATAACCTTGTTTGCAAAATGAAACTTCAGAAATTCTGGACATCAAGTTTGCTAACTTGCTTTGAAAAAATTCAGCAGTAAATAATAATAATAACAAAATAAACTTACCGTTTTCTCTTTTTATATCTTCTCGTTTTCTGTCAATACCATCTTGGAATAATATCCTTTTACTGAGTAACAACACGTAAACAAGTAGAAGAAAAATAGTGATCAAAACAGTCCTGGAACTTTTACGGCGGAAGTTGAATTTTCGAAAGGCTGATTCGAATAAATAAAAATGCTCTCTGACTCTCTCCATGCCTGCAACTGAGGTAGATTATTTTTGTCTTGCTTGATGCATGAAAGGAAAAGGGAAAAAACTGTAAAAAGAGCATTCTTCAACTCGTTTCTGCATTATTTTTTCACTATCCGACCGGTATGTTGACCTACATATATTGACCTAGGGTCAGTTAATAACTTCACTGATCCGTGAAGCTGTTTTTGTTTATTCCGTTTTTTTCATTTACAAATTGGAGGGGAGAAAGCTATTATTTATATTTGTTTCCTTTTGTTTATCGTTCGTATTGTTTTATAGTTGAAAAAGCCTTCCTATGTCATAAACAAGCTGCAGCTTTCTTTATGATACAGGCAGACATAGCTACATGTGAACTCAAAACAAACAATACGGATGATAATAGTATGATTATTGATATAGTTGTTTAATGGATTTTAATTTTAATTTTTCTTGGTTATTGCATATACAGGGTGTCCCAGAATTATTGGGACAAACTTTAAGGGGAAGTAAGGGACATCATAAGGATTCAGAATTGTCCAGCAACTCATGGTCGTCAGCGCTATGGAAAAGTAGTATAACAGGTACAACACACAAAGAGACATAAGGCTGAGAAAATCTGAATATTTATTCGTCAAAGTATTACATGCATCTTGGTAGATGATGTGTGAAAATGTCATAGAAGATATTCAAAGTTTCCACCATTGCCAGCGATGCACTTGTAACACCTTTGAATGAACCATGGATTGGCGGTCTCTCAAAAATACACCTGGATTTTATTGGATATTCGTAGCAGCACAGTCCATTTCGGAACCCACAGGTGTTGTGTAAACGGCACGTTTCAGTGTTTCCCCAAAGAAAGGAATCCACACTGCTTAAATCAGGAGAACGTGGTGGTCAGGGTACCGGTCCACCACGCTCAATCTATCTCGGGAACAACAACACATAGCGGTGAACGAAGAGGTTTCCGACCTATGCAAATCGGAGATGCAATCAGAATCCATGTGATGTCCCCTAACTCTCCTTAAAGTTTTTCTCCAATAATCCTGGGAGACTCGTAGTGGCTCAGGGGATAGAGCGATAAAATAGATGAGTATGTTGCTGAACATTGCTATGGCATCGATCTTAGTAGCCTAAGCAGATAAAAATAATTTGTCTGACCTAAGATGATAGGCATTGATGTTTCCACTTTCTAAAGACGTGAATGGAATTATCGATCATGATAGAAGTTCATAACTAGAGTTTCAGTTTTCTCTTTATAGGTCTGGCAACATTATTCTCTTAGACGAGCTCGCCTTCCAATGAGGTGAAGAGGGTTCGAATCCCAGCAATGGCTGGTCTATATGAATTCTGCACTGCCCTGTTACGGTTGGGTATAAAATAAAAAAAAAGAAAAGTTGCTAACAAGCAAGTGATAACAAATTTAAAAAATAAAAATAAAAATTAATGGCCGGGTGAAACGATATAGTGGTACATTTTTGGAGTCGTGTTGCAATTTTACAATCCAGAAGGAATATTAATTTTTAAGGTCCCAGAAAACAAATATATTCTACAAAAAAAAGACATGCCTCCTCTCCATGGAAGTTATCCGTACCTATGAAGAAGACAACAAAAAAAAAACAGTCAAAATGAAGTAGTCCAGTTCTTTTTACTAAATCTTTGTTGTTTATTGGATATTACTAGGCAAACATCTTAAAATTATCATAGTGAGGCACAACATCTTAAAAATATCATCAATGGCACAACATCTTAAAAATTATCATCAATGGCACAACATCTTCAAAATATGGGTACTATTGGGTAGCTGGAGGAGGAGACCGAACTATCACAAGCTAGTGCATCATAAAGAAGTGTATTCAATCAAAAAGAATTCTTGATAAAAGGATTGAAGCATGAACTTTTCAAAAGGGAAGAGCTGCCGACATTTTCGGGATTTTCTTTGAAAAATTAAAACAGCATTACAATAAAGCTAGAAAAGGCTGTGAAGGAGTCCATCAATGGCGGTGTATACTGCGGCGCCATTTAATGTCCGAAACCCTTTCCTCAAAAGAGGAGGGAAGTAAAAAAAAAGCTCCGCGAGGGAGTAAGTATATCGTTGGGAGGATGGAAGATTCGAATGCCACGAGCGTTTTTCGCGCTCTGGCTTTTATATCAAAAAGGAAAAAAAACCGAGTTGAGTACTCAAGGTACTGAAAGTATGAATTAAAGCAGTAAAATTTTAAGTTGAGATGTATTATCAATATTATTTTTAAGTGTTATTCTCACCTTCCGATTGACGTTGCAAAGCTAAGTTTCAGTCGACTTCAAATTCTCGTGCTACATCAAACGACGCCGACAGCTTTTTCCAAGAAAAGGAGTGTCTGAGGAATGTGCAAGGAACTTCCTGGGGAAAATGTCCTCTTTGCGCTAACGCGTTAAGGGGGGAGAAGAAAAAGATGAAGAAAATAAAAATTGTATCATAAAATTATAAATTAAGCCGAAAAAATAAGTATTTTGATTAACAAAACAGGATATTTAGAAATTAGGCTGTGACTTAATGTCACATGCACCCCTCTCGCACCGACTACAGTCCTGACGTAAAATATCCTCAGTGGTAGATGGATCGTGGATTAGAGTCCCCTTGCCGTCAGGCTAACAGTGGAAGGTTCTCGTGGTCTTCCTCTCCATGTAACGTAAATGCGGTTTACCTCCATCAAAAAATCCTCCACGAAGCCATATTTCTCCCAATACTCGATCCAGGAGTTCCATTGTCTTCTGGATTGGGTTCAAAATTACGAAGCTATGGAGTTGAACATTGGTGGTCGTAAACCAAAATTGGGTCGGCTTTTCAACGACGGTTATAAAATAAAATAACCCTGGGACACCCTGTTGTTAAACTCAAAGTTTGAATTCATTCCTAAAACTGCGATCGATGTTTATTGCCATGTGTGTCAAAACAACCAGTAGCTACTTCCTAGTGGTTTCGGCCTGGCGACAGATCGGTGCTTGAGCTATTTCCCGCTCTCTAACTTCTACACCTCACTAATTGTAGTCTCAGCCTCGACATATATAACTATAAAAAAAGACCCTTATAGACCCTTTCTGATTATGCGCGCAAGTTGTTTCATGTGCTTCTGGGATCAAACCCATGATCCCTAATTTTCAAGATGACATATGTAAAAGTAAGCAATGTTTTTATTCGTACACCAACCATTACCGTCTTCTAAATAAATATTTGTTTTTTCGTCTGGATTTTAGCAGTGCTGAATATTTTATTAATTTCCAGCTTAGTTTACAATTGAAAGACTTGGGAATATAGGTATAAAGCCCCACTTTTTCTAATAGTGACTTTTGGGCCGGGATAACCGAGAAGTCGTAACACCGTGACGATTTCCAAGAGGTCGTAGGCTCGATCTCCGCCGGCCGGAGATCGGTCCCGTGTAGCAAATGGTGACTAATGCACGTTAAATCTGTGGAGTCTCAAAGTCCTCCATGTTCCCATAACAAATCTTACTTCTCGGGGTACTGATCCAGGAGTTTCCGTGTCTTCTGGATTGGTTCAAAACTCCAAGGCTACGGAGTTGAACATTAGTAGTCGTAAACCCAAAATTGGGACGGCTGTTCAACGACGGTTATAAGTTGTTGTTGATCTTTTACGTCGCACTAGAGTTGCACAATAGGCTGCATAGGGGATGGAACCCCCCTTCGGTAGCCCGATAACCTGCACGTGAAGTCGAGCACTTTACTGTCGAACAGTTTAACGAGGACCAATACCGCACAACCTCGGTCCCTACGCAGACTGATCCAAGTGGTCATCCGCCTGCACACTGACTGCAGCCAGCAATGCTTGACTTCGGTGATCTGTTGGGAACCGTGTCTTAGCGATCAGATATTTATTACCTATCATTTAATAAGAAATAAATTTTTCTTTAACCAAATCGATAGTTTTTATGCCATGATCTAAGGTATCAATACAAAAGGACCAAATTTTACCGCATTGACCAAATTTTAACCTTTAAAATTTAATTTATCGAAATCACGACCAAAGTGTTTCGGTAAAAATTCAGGAACTTTTTGGTGTTTCCATAAAGACAGAAACACGGTAAATTTTATTATATTCTGGTAGTTTTGACCATTATTTTTTCTCAATGTATTGCCAAAAAAAAGTTATGAAAATAAGTTGAAAACGAAGTTACCCCCATAACGTGAGTATTTCGCTTATGCGAAATGTTTCCTTTTCTGATAAATTTTCCCCAACTTTTCAAATAATCGAAGTTCTATTGTATATGTCATTAAAAATGGATAAGAGTATCATTGATATTCGAAATTCTTGCTATTTGACGAACCGAAACGTTCTAACATCCCCTTTAAAGAAGCAATTTACATTTTGGAAATAAATTTTTTTTATTCTAACGTAGGAACAATAAAGACCAAAGAGCCCTCATAAACTATGAAAACAGAAATAACAGGAAACAATAAAATATCTTAACTCTATTCAGTATTATGTTCTATCCTGATCTAATATATCAAAGAACGTTTAGGAATGTCATGGTACACAGAAAAAGGATCTGAACTTTCAAAAAAATATTAAATAATAATAATTTTAACCCTTATCAGTTTTGCTTATTCATTGAAGCAGCAGTTTTAATCGCTAAATGTTTGATATTTTCGTCCAATCAAAAATAAAAATTCGACGATACTAATTTTTATAACTTATAATGTGTTATGGATATCCGGTAAAATGTCCAGAGCTATTCCTTTCTGAGACTGTTAGTTAGAACTGCGACTAGTTATGAAAGATGGTAAGCTACTATTCTTTTAAAAAGTTCAATTATTGAAAAATGTAATTTTCTGATGCATCAGTTTTTTTATAAAATGTAGTTTCATAATGCTTGTACACTGTCAAAAATTCCGAATCTAATTACGATTAAAAGTACTGGCCGGTACTTTTTACCGTAAAATCCATTTTTACCCGAACAAAAAATCTGATATAATGTAGCTTTTATCCTAATAATTACTGTAAAATCAATGTGAGTGACTCTAATTAAATAAATATTACTGTGAAACTTACGGTATATTTTTTAAACCTTAAAATTGGATTTTACGGTTGATGCATCTAAAGTGCCAATACTAATTTAGTACTTATAATACTTATTAATAGTTTATTCCCTAATATGATTCGGAATTTTTTTTACAGTGTAATTCATCAATTATGAATCTTATTATATTATTTGTCTTGAAGTATTGTTGTTATTATAAAATTCATTATATTATTAATTAATGGAAAAATGGATAACAATGTTTCTAACTTATTCTAAATATCTGGAAGAGTGCCCAGAGCCATATTTTAGTGATACCTAAAATTTCGATTTCGAGAGATCTGCAGTTTCAAGTAGAATCCGAAATTGTTAGTTATGAATAAAACTTAAATATATTATTCATCAATAAATTCAATTATTAAAGACAATAGTATAGATTTATACTGCTGGTTTTGCTTATCATTTTATGTATTTACCTCGTAGTATAAAAATCTGATTTATCATTCTGAAATAGCTTTAAACTTCCCCAAACATATATTATTTATATTCTCTTAGAAATGATTATACAATCTTTACTGTAATCTCGTAAATCAAAATTATGGTAGAAGATGATCGAAATTTTTTTACAAAGTTTCATCTCTGTTGCAAATGTAATATTTCTGAAACTACTTGAGAGATAACGTTACGAGATCATTGAAATTATATCGCTGTCATGAACCACCGAACTCGGGCGATAATAACATTGCAAGTTACATAACATAGGTAACATATGGGTTATTCATGCAATTTAGCTAATACACTACACTACTTTTTATTGTTTTGTTGGATTGATGTTTATAATGCAACCACAACCTATTTTTTCTTTGTTAGATGTTTTACATTGCACTGCATCCCAGAATTAAACACAAGTTCAAAATAAACATTTTTTTAACAGTCTGATGAAATAGTTTATCCGGATTATGCTAGGCGAAAGGTACATTAGTTTGAGTTCAAAATGTATTGATTTGTTAATATGTCAATTACGTTGATTTAAAAACTTTATTTCTATCTTAAAATATCATGACGTTTTGCTTTAAGAAATACATAACTAATTTGATTCAAGTAAACAAATGCAAATTTTATTTATCCATTTTAATAAATAAATTTTTTTAACTCTTTGATTTATAAACTTTATTTTTATGAGACAAAACAAAAAAAAAATTACATCGTTGCATCCCTATCTGAACAATATAAATGATGGTTTAATAATATGTTTCTCTAACAGCTTAAGTCAGGCAGTGAACTGATCGTAAAGACACGGTTCCCATCAGAACACCGAAGTCAAGGATCACTATCTGCGGTCAGTTAGCGGATGGGTGATCAACCGGAGCAGAGACCGAGGGTGCGCGGTATCGGTCCTCGTTAAACTGTTCTACCTTAAAGTGCTCTACTTCGCGCTAGTCGTCGGACTACCAAAACAGGGAGCCATCCCCCTGCAGAGGATCAAAATTGCGATGGCATGTCCTCGGATCATCCTCAGGGATGTTTCCCAGACCGTCGCCAATAGCCCATTGTGCGGCTCTAGTGTGATGTAAATAAAATACCTACCTCTAATTGCTTAAAAGTATAATGGTCTCAAAATGTTCATTCTTATCATTCTTCATCATTCATTATCATTCATCTTCCATTATGATTCTTATCTTATCATCTCAACGCATTCTTATTGGTTGAAAAGTCCCATGATATGGGTTCCTTAATTAATAAAGAAATCAATGAAAGTTATCCTGGTACTTTTCATCTCTAAATAGTTCTTTACTCCGTAGTTTATAATATTTAGTTCTAGTTATTTATAGTCTTTGATAGTATTTTTCTCAGTTATTACTATGTTTTTGATTTTGATTATAATTCAAAATTAAGGACACATATCTGAAAGCAGAGTTCTATCCATATACAGTAATCACATGATATTATCTTAATTTATTGTAAACATATTTAAAACATTATGCAAATAATTAACGATTTTACAATGTGAGCAATTAACCATTTTATTTGTTCCTTCATCACAAAGTTATCTGTCATATTACCTTATTTTATCATTAACAATTTTAAAACGTTTTCAAATTAACTAATTTATTTATTCCTTCACCATAAAGTAATTCTATGTTATTATCTTTTTTTCACAGACATATTTAAAACGTTATGTAAGTATTTAATCATTTTACAAATTGCAGATAATTAACCATTTCATTTGTTCTTCCTCATAAAGTTATCCTACAATATTATCTTATTATAAACATCTTTAAAACGTTATCTAAGTAATTAACCATTTTGCAATGAAAGTAATTAACTAACTTATTTATCCTTTCATCATAAAGTAATCCTATAATATTATTTTATTTGATCAGTAACATATTTAAAACTGTATGCGAGTTATTAACCATTTTACAATTATTGAACAGCAATTAAGTTTTATTTATATTCATAAGCTTGTTGTAAAACTATGCCCAGCCAAAGTATGCAGTTAATTATATAATTTTTATCATAGAATATAGAATAACACTAAACATATTGAGAGTACCAAGAAATGAATTGCCAAAATTTGGTGAACCAGTTAAAGAGAAACAAAGGGAGATTAAAATATACGGTTTGCTGCGTTCTACACAGGAAATCAAAATTTTTTCACACAAATATTAAGATCAATTAAATAGTTTAGCAATAGATGGTGCTGATAACAGAGAAAAACTTCAACAAAAAAATTGTTTTCAAAATAGTCATCAGTTGCAACAGCAATGTGGCGCATTCTAAGGAACAAAATTAATCTGCTACCTTGCAAATACTTACACTCGAATGCTCTGAAAAAAAAATTGCTTTCTAGTTTGTAGTAAGCAGCGCCACCTGTAGACGAACTTCATTATTAATTTTGATATTTGGTGAGTTCCGACTGACTTCATAAACAAACTGTAGGATGCATATTTTTCGTTTTTCACTTGATTTTTCAAACTTTGGATCATTTTTTGGATACCTAATATATATGGTTGTCATCAACTAGATTAGAAATGATAATCCATCCAAAATTAATTTGCAGAAGTCTAATTAGTATTTTATTACTGCAGGTTAAGAGCGACCAATCAGATCGTTATGGAAGCAAATTGCACAAGACATTTGGCGTGAATTTTAAGCTGGGAAACTATTGGCTGCTAGTGAGAAAATACTTGGGTTTTATTGCCTACGTATCTATCATAGTAGGCACCTCTTTCCTCATATGTTGCGCTTTTTGGCTGCCAGATGTCAGACTTTGGTGCAAATTTGGTGAATACAACAATAAAGGTAAGAATTTAAATATCGAACTAAAGTAATAGCTAATATATAATGATAAATATTTCACCTTAATATGAGTTGACAGTCTGCTAAAAATTTAAAAGTAACTATTATAATTTTAAAATAGTACTTCGTGTTGTTACTTCAGGTTTAAATTCCTTCACAATTGAAAGCATAGCAACATTTTAAGTATAAAAGAGTTTAAATTTAACATATTTTTATTCATTTACTAAAAAAAAATCTATAATTCAGATATTACTAGCCCGTGTATTAAATGGTGATTGGTGCGCATTAAATCAGTCGGGGTTACAATGTCCTCAAATTTTAATAATAAATTCAGGTCAAAATTACGATCTGTGGATGAATGAATGGAGTAGGATTGGGTCCTCCCTGTAAAACGGGCTGTGACTTGTGTGTGGCTGAAGTCGTATTCTTGGCCATAGATGGCTCTACTGAAAAAACAACAACAAAAAACGCACTATCTGCCTTAAAATTTTTTTTGATTTCAAGAAGGCTTGCTTTTATTGACAAGCGACATAAGTAACAACAGCAACTACAGATATTATTAGTTTCTAGAAAAAATATTAAAAAATATGCAATGACTTAACGCTTGAAAAAGTATTTTTTTTTTTAAAGAACACTAAGTTCTAGTAGACATTTATTAAAAAGTACATTCACTGGTTTTTAAAAAAGTTGGTCAGTAGGAATAATTAAAATAAGCCATAGAGAACTTTATATTGTTTTTGTATATTTTTACACATATTATGTGTGTATCCATGTGGGATTTATGTTCTTGTGTGTATTGTAAAGGGTGTTCTTTATTACCGCTGTAATATATATTTTTAGAATCAATCTCAGGAATGATGTAAAAACAGCAAACGCATTATAGTACTCAAATTTAAGTAGAACTTTTTTTTGTTTTCTGTTGCAAGAGATTTTTTGACAGATTTTGGTCAGTTTTATTTCGCTTGTTTCAAATCTGCAATCGCTTTTTCTCTTCAAGATACATTTTTTAATGACTTTTTTAATCAATTTTTTTTCGAAATATACAAGTTTAAAAATGTTATATATAGCAGGGAGAGGCATAAAAGTTGCAACAAACTAAGGGGAGCTAAGGGGTACCAGGATTAAAATTGCATAGGAATCGAAGCCCGAAAATGTCGTCATACGCCACTAGGAGTACTTTCTTATTATGAACAGCTTCTTTCTTGTGCTTACGAACAGATCATAATAGAGAAGCCCCTAGCCGCGTTTCTGTGCATGGGTTTTTATGCAAATTTAATCCTGATGATGCGTCTCAACTTCCCTAGAAGTTTGTCGCAACATTTAAGCAATCCCCTGCTATGAATAGCGTTTTTAAGCTTGAATATTTCAACAAAAATTAACTAAAAATGTCATTTAAAAATTTGCAGCAAAAGGAGCAAAATTAATTTTAGATTTAAAATTCTTGCAGCCGAGAGACATTTCAAAGAATTAACATTTCTTAGATCAAACATTTGTATAAATGCAGCAAAAAAAAAAAAAATGTTCCTTAGAATTATTTTTTAGGGAAAAAAAATTCGAAATGCAATTAAATAAAATAAAAACTAAAAATATAGAGAAAAATCTTTGTTTTGCCTGTTTGATTGTCCGAGAAAATACAGATTATTTGAAGAGTGTTTATTAGAAGCAACCTTTAAGTTGCAACAATAAAACTGGTTTCGGATGTTTAGGCAATAAAACTGGTTTGGATGTTTATATCCCCTGCTCCTCTCTATTGGTTTGACGGATATTAATATAACCGGTTTATTTCTTCTCGCTTAAATATTAATTTATGACTCCTAAAGTACATACTTCTCTTTATTCATTTTTGTAAAGAATTCTAAAAATATATATTAAGATCACAACCCATGTCCGAATCTCTTTTATATTCAAATTTCTTTTAGAAAGTCACGTATATTTCTTCACATTAAGACGGTTTATTATCTAATATATTTTTCAGCACGTAGCATTGACAGTTTTCTTCTTTTGAGGGAGAAGGAAAGAGCATCATACGACAGGTTGATGCGGTATATTCTACACCCCCAGGCACCCTGTCAGACGATTCAAATTCTTGGAGGTAAAAAAGGACGGAATAAGAAATTTGACGGTGATAAAGTGATTTGCCTAGAGCCTGGTCCTGGTCTAGGCGAAGATTGTATTGTGTATTCTTTTGGGTAATTTTAATTACGATTATAATGAGTTTGAAATTAAATTTGATGCATAATAAACTTGGAAATTTAAACAATTTAAAAACTTATTAACCAATCATAATTTTCATTTAAATTTAAATGATTCTATCATACTTATGTAAGAGCTGACTTTGAACTTTCGGAGACGGCTGGTGCAACAATTGCACCGTAAGTTCTTTTTTTTTTGTTGTAAAAGTATTTGATATATATTACAGATGTTATGTTGAGGACTAAACAAATAGGGTGTCATAAAATATTAATATTTGGCTCTTATTTATCAATTACTTTCATAGAAAAATCAAGACTTAGGGTACAATTGTTGTACCAGCCTTCTACAAAAGGTTATCCTTTTGTCGACATTAAAGCTTCAAGTTTAGTAATAAACATAAAGCTTTAACAATATGTTAAATGTCAATACAAAATGCTATAAAATGTGTATCGAATAGACAATTTAATTCAACAAATTTTTTTACAATGATACTCATTATTATTAATCTTAATATTGATTATTGTTATTCTTAATATTACAATTATTTTCTTTATTATTTATTAGAATTAATTTTTAATATTTTTCCGACCATTTTTATAATTTCGTTATTTTAAATTTTTTTTTATTATCCTTACCATTTATTTTTCTTATCCACAATATTTATTTTTATTCATTTCAATAGTTATTTTTACATTATTTATTTTCATAATATTCATTTTTATAATATTTATTTTCATAATATTTTCTTTTGCGAGATTCTTATTATTTAGTTTAACTCTTCTTAACAATCTTAACATTATTTTCAATCTTATTAATATTTCATTTTTATTATTAATAATATTTAGAAACATAGTTAAATTTTTTGTCATTACTTTCTAGTTAAGAAATACATATTTTAAACATTAAAATAAATCTATATTATATAAAACGCTAATACGTACGTATGTATGTATCAATAAAACCGATGATATTTCTTTTCTCGCTCTGGCAACAGTTTTCATTTTTAATTGANTAATATTTTCTTTTGCGATTCTTATTATTTAGTTTAACTTTTAACAATCTTAACATTATTTTCAATCTTATTAATATTTCATTTTTATTATTCATAATATTTAGAGACATAGTTAAATTTTTTGTCATTACTTTCTAGTTAAGAAAAACATATTTTAAACATTAAAATAAATTTTACATTATTTAATAAATTTTACAAAATTCTAAAAATTGTAACTATTTTTTTCTTTATAAAATCTCATTTCTCTCAGATTGTCATTATAAATCATTGTCTAATCAATGTTTTATTCTATACATTGATTTGATTGATGTTTTATTATATAGATTGATTTAATTGATGTTTTATTACGTAAATTGATTAGATTGATGTTTAATTATATACATTGACTAAATTGATGTTTTATTATATAAATTGATTGGGTTGATGTTTTATTATAAACATTGATTAGATTGATGTTTAACTATTTACATTAATTGGATTGTTTCATTATATACATTGATTAGAATGATGTTTAATTATGTACATTGATTTGATTGATGGTTTATTATATACATTGATTGGATTGATGCTTAATTGTATATATTGATGGGATTGATGTTTTATTCGTTCTACTGATTGAACTGACGTTTCACTATATACATTGATTGCATCATTATATACATTGTTTGCATATAATTAGGATATCAAATGATTGGTCTTTTGATGAGAGCATTCATGATAAATTTGGTTGTCAAGTGTACTCCTTTGATCCAAGTATGGGTATTGAAGACCATGACCACACCAAAGATATTCATTTTTTTAACATGGGAGTTGGAGAGTTTGACGGTAAAATGTAAGTTCAATTACGAAATATTACTATGTTGCACGTGTTACTTCTTATATAATTATTAAATATTTATGTCTTATAGATTATGTCAGTCTATGGAGAGAGAATTAGAGTTAAATATCATTCAGCAATGAATACTGACGTTATAACAACTGTTACTATGACGACCGTACGTTATGAAAATTATTATTACTATCGCGAGTTATAACGCGCTTTACTATAAATGTTTGATTCACCTATTAGTGGTTGAAATTAAGAAAGCTTATTATACTTGAACAAAGATATTTTATTTAGCATACCAAATGACAAATATATTTCATTTTCGAAAAATGTGATCCCGCAGTGAACTGATCGAAAAGACAATGTTTCTAGTAGAACACCGAAGTCAAGCATCACTGGCTGTGGTCAGTAAATGAGTGGGTGACCACTTTGATCAGCCTGCGTAGGGATCTAGGGTGCACGGTATCGGTCCTCGTTAAATTATTCTATCGTAAAATGCTCGACTTCGAGCACAGCTCGCCGGGCTATCAAAGCAGGGGGGCAATCCCCGGTTCAGAGGATCAAAATTGCGATGACATACCTTCGAATCCTCCTCAGGGATGCTCCTCAAACAGTCGCCAATAGAGCATTCCGCAGCTGTAGTGCGACGTAAATAACTATCGAAATCAATTTCAATATCAGTTTCAGTCACGTTATATTCTTCACAGTGAAATATAAGTTTATGAATCAGTATGAATTTCTTTTATTACTAGATTTTAAAATGTGTCCGAAATTATTATTTTATTTTTAGTACTTTTAAATTGTAAAAATAGCATAATTTTAAATTTTTCATAAATTTTTCCAGAAATGTAGGAGACCAAATGTGGAATATGAGAACACTGGATACAATAATACACCAGTTAGGACACAAGAATCGAACGATAGATGTATTGAAGCTTGATATAGAAGGGGCAGAATATGTCGTTCTTGAAGACATTCTTTCAAAAGGACTTTTAAACGTAAGCTTGTATGTTTCAAACAAATTTAATATTCCATTCAAATTTTAGAAAACTATCAAGAGTTAAGATAGTGGATGATATTTTGAAAAACCAACGAATAAAAACAGAAAGAAATAGAAATGCATAGTTTGCTGCGTTCTGATTAGGAAACCAATTTTTTTCGCCCAAATTTTAAAATTAGTTTCAAAACTCCTCAATTGAAGGCGCTGCTGCTGACTGGTAAATTATAAACAAATGTATATTTGCCCAGACATCGTTTAATCTGTTAACTAGCTATGTAACAGACTTTTAAACTCGAACAGAAACTGTGTAGTAAAATACTGCAAACTGTACTTCTCTATATACTTTCGTTTTATTTTAATTAATTGTCCGAATCTCAATCATTTTTAGGACATCCGGCGGGTGAGTTACTATATAAAAAAAAGCGCAACATGTAAAAAAAAAAATCTTTTCGACTAAAAAATTATTAGAGTTATGATCAAAATACGAAAAACAGCATTCTAATGCGTGAAAAACATATTCCCCAGAATATGCTATTTTGTTTATAGGGTACAATCTTTACTGCAATGTATAGAAGTATTTTATTTTAGTCATTACACTTTGCGATGCTTAATTATAAATTCTACAAAAAAAGGAATGAAAATGATGAGGCAAAAATATGATAACGGAGATAAGTAATTCTACGAACGAAATTGTTTTCTATTTCACATCGCGTTGTATTAAGGAATTAATTCTGATAAGAAACGTTCTATTTCATTTTATTTTTTGTGCACACTCTGAGAAAATAAATCAGTTTGTTATATCGTAATATATGTAACTTGAACCATTAGACTTTGCAACTTTAATGACGTGTTGATATAAAGTCTTTTTCTAATTCATATGAACCAGTGTCCATGTAATCAAGTTTAAGAAGGATTTATTAACACTATAACTTGATTTAACTTAGCACTAGACGGTCTGAAATTTTTTCTACAAGGATTTTCATTTACTAAGACGCCATGGTTCGAAGGAATTACCTTAACTATAATAGTTAATTGGTGCAAACGATATATTAGTGTTACAAAAACAGGCAAAAACGAGCTTTCTCTGAATTAAAATACTTTTTTCTCCGACACATTCGGATTCACGCTCCTTAAAATATGGGGGATAGTAGTAATCTGGAAAATATGGTTGAAATAAGTTTGATCAGGAGAGCGGTTGAAAGTTTAGACGCCTTAATGTTAAGTAAAAGTAAAAGTAAAAAAAAAAAAAAAACTTGAATAGAGCACAAATGAAAGTTTTACATTTGTTACCCTATCCTTTGTTGGATTATTAATGTTACTTTTTACTTTTAGCGAATATTGCCATTGTACTTGAACTAAAAAAACGAATTAAAAAATTTTTCCTTATTATTTTAAAACATGCTTATTCAACACTAATTTTATGCCAGAAATAATAATTTCAAATTATTATTTTTTTATTGTTGGCTTTAGTATTGAGTAAAAAAATTAAATTTCGAGATACATAATTATTTTTTTGAAAACAAAAATTAAAAATACTTGTATGAGATGGCGAATTACGGGAAAAGTGAAATTAACATTATGAGGTTCGAAACGTACAACCGTTTTACTGCTTAAACTATTTGGACTAGTATTTACTTAGATTGTGGTTAACCTCCTCATATAGAGGATCAAAAATCCAATCCCGTCTAAAAAACTGCACGTTTATTCAGAGAAAGCACACCTTTGTGTATGATTTCAAATGTCACCTGTACAAATTAATTAGTTTATGTAAGATCTGAGCCCTTGAACCATTAAGATAGAAAGATTATGTACGTGAAAATTGATAATTAGATCAAAAGTTTAGGGTGTTGTGCTTAAAACTTATCCATTAGCAAACTGGGCACAATATTGCATTAAAATTTATTATCGTATTTTACATGTAAATAATAAGAAATAATTTTAATTGAAAGAAATTATTTTATAGCATGTCAATCACCTCTGTATGGAGATACATCTTCCGGACAACCCCTACTGGACAAGGGTCTTAAAATTGCTCAAGAGAATTGAAGAAGAAGCAGGGCTTCGACATTTCAGCACTCGCAACAACACTCAGACCCCTTTGATGAGGGTGCCCGGGTTCTACGCAAGACTAGAGCAACATTTTTTCGAAATGGCATGGTACAGGCACTGAAAATCAGCACATGGATGGCATGTCTCATAATTTCACAAGAACTCAAACACTAAACCTATGTATTTATAGTAAATGAGCGGCTTGATGCTGACTGGACATAACATAAGAAAATAATAAAACTTGAGTTTTTTTTTTAGAACTAGGTATTCGAAAAATAATTAGTAGACATGTTTTTTAACATCCAAATTTATTTTTGTGGAATTTCAAAACACATATTCAATTTTGAAATTTAAGATCCTTCCAAATATTTTTAAACGCAACACGTTGTAAAAATTATGAAAAATGTTGAAGAGATGATTTATATTTATAAAAAAATATTCTTTATATCTCCTTATTCTTATTTTACCATGTTCTTAAAAAGGTACTAGAGTATAATATGGATTCACAATATAATTATTCTAAGAATTATTCTAGAATATTTTGTTTGAGAGAAAATGTTCTTTACGATTTGACGCAGATGGAATACCGGTATCCCTTTTATATATTTTTCTGACACTCATTAAAGCAGGAATATATTTTGGTATTTATTAATTTAATAAAAAGTCTATTAGTTTTTAAACAAATCTGTCAAATTATCGTAATTATATTTGTACAAAAATATAAAATTTAAAAGCAAAATAATTTTAATTTTTTTTCCATTCATAATCAAACATTTAACAATGGTTGAGAGAGGAATGTTTGGAAAATTTTGCATTTAGCGCAGTAAAAGACCCCGGTGTTTCCTGCTATATTTCATAACCACAAATTATTAAAATACTAAATGTAATATTTTATACTTATTTTGATCTAAATTAATACAAAATAATATCAAAAGCATGAAAAAAAGTTCTTAAAATTCTGCGTCAAAGGGTTAACTTAATGTTATTGACAGAACGTCTACAATTTATTTCAAAAATTTGCGCCGTGATATAAACTATCTTAAATATGAATTATATATTTTTATATTCGACAAATGTATTACTATAAAATTGTGCAATTCACTTTGGATTCCAGTTATAACTTTTTGAAAACTGGCTGTTAAAATAGAATATTTTCCTTGTGAAAACGTGACTTAACTTTTGATGTCACAAGGAATGCTTCTGAAATTAAATTCGGAAATCCACACCGTGACAATCATATTTTAAGTACATAAATTGTTTCTACAATTGTAGTCCTTTAAAAAGGTTTCCTGCAGTTTGTGTTTCAAAAGAAACCTTTTCTAAGCATGTCTGTCGAAAATAACGAATTTTTTTGTTAAATCAAATTATGCATTTATTGCTACAATTACTAATTCTAAACATTATTAACATTGAAGCCAAATTAAGCATGGTTTTCTTGCATCGTTCTTCAAAAACTAAACCAATAATTTGGGGTCTAAGATACAATTTTTCTAAACCTGGAAGTGATACATTCAACATTTATTTTGCAAAAATGAATCCTATTTTTGAATGTTTCTAGGGAGTCTTCTAAAATTAATTTTGAAATTCGTGATTTTAGGAAAAAATAGGTTCTACGTAGTGTAACGTATACTTTTTTAGACATGGCTATTCAAAACTTTAGCATTTTCATTGGGAAATACTGTTATAAATTCAATGTTACAAGAAACACTTATAAAATTAATTATAAAAGTTTTCAGTGTGAAATTTATATTTGTCGTTCTATGATTATGAATATAATTATTTATCGATATAAAGTTTGAAAATAATTTTTTAAAGGTAGGTAGGTACTTAATTTAAGTCGCATTAGAGCTGCTCAATGGACTATGGGTCCGGGAAACATCCCTGAGGATGATCCGAAGACATGGCATAGCAATTTTGATCTTCCGCAGAAGGGATTAATTGAAAAAAAAGTCCTCTGAAAAGTAAGTAAAAGTTGGGAAAACGCTTCTCAACTTTTAATATTATGGGGAACACATTTGAAATTGATCACAGAAACTTTGTCCACAAAATCTATATTTTTAGGAGGAGAAATATTTTTAAGGTTTTTGTTCTTTTAAATGGTGCTATACAATTAGGATCGAATCATAACTTTAAAAAAATTGCACACTAAAGAGAGTATTTTTTGTGAAGACGTTGTTTAACTTTTAATATTGCAAGAAGCATTTCAGAAATTTATTTCACAATTTTGCACAACGAATTCTGTGTTTTTAGGAGATGAATAATTTCTATATTTGTTGTTTTTCAAAAGGTACAATGTAATTGTAACGAAATAAAATTTAAAAAAAAAATAGTTGTTAAAATAGAAATTTTTTTGGAGAAAACAAGTTCTAAATTTATACGGTACAAAAAATACTTTCAAAATAAATTTCTGAAATTTGCTAAGAAATATATATTTTTAAGACATACAGGAAAATGGAGCTATACATTTTGGATTCGAGTTACATTTTCTAAAAATGGATATAAAAATGATTATTTTCTTTATGAAAAGGTATCCTAATTTTTAAAGTTAGAGAGGATACCCCGAAATCTATATTTTTAGTACAAAAATAGATTATATATGTAACGTTTGAAAAGTGATCATACATCTCAGGCTTGAGTTATATACTTTTTAAACATGTCAAAATTAGAGCATTTTCATTATGAAAACGAGCCATTTTTAATGTTAAAAGGGACACAACTAATATCAATTAAAATTAATTACAAAGTCTCAGATCGAAATCTATTTGTTTAGGATATAATTGTATGCGTCCTTCTTCATAATGGAGGTATACAGTTATTGAGTGCTATATAGTGTATACTTACAGTGTGCTACGTATAAATGAAAGAACGAAAAACAACGCAATGGATCTACTCGGACAAACAACAAACAATGGAAATACTAGAGTTTCGGTTCTATAAATAAGAACCTGCCTCTGTGTAGTAGAAATGAGACGAGCTTCTTCGGACGCTTCAAGCTTCTTCGGACGCTTCGAGCTTCTTTCTGGTTCGGACGGACTCGAACGAATAATTAAATTTTCGTAAACTTTCAAACTATTTTTGTACAAACGTTTGGTTGAGTTATTAAGCATAAAAAAATATAAGAATCATAATTTACAAAAAATTACTGCTATCTGTTACTTCGTTTCGGTGCTTTTGCTTAGGGAGGCTACCACTAATTGTCAATTAACTTTTTATTTAGCTTGAGATGCTGTTTTTTTAAAAATTTTTTTGTTTTACTCATCTTTGAGTTTCAGTACTATACCATCAGGAGTTGGTACTATCTTTGTTCAGTACTATACTTTGAGTACTATACCAGGAGTCGGACGTCGTTTCTTGTAGTCGAAATTTATTCTTACATAATACAGATGAAGCAATAAATTCCTAGTGGTTTACTAGATGGTCATGATTGTGAATCTTGTAGATGATAAAAAATAAACTCGAATGTTTGCTGTTGTTGACAATTCCTCTCCGATATTTCCCTTTCACACTCAATTCTAGATTTTCTTCCGCTTTTTTCTAAGAAAAACAATATTACGGTGATAAATGTCAATATTACATACATCTACAGTTCAGTAGAAGCCTGCTAAGATGAAGAGAAAAGCTGCACCTTTATAATTTTCCCCACACACAGAGAGGGAATACCGCTTGCGGTGAATAGCCAGTATTAAAGAGAACTTTTCTTTTTTCACTCATGAATGGCAACAAAGTTGAACAGCCCCAAAAGACTTCCTTTAAGAAGTATGGCACTGTATTTCGAGTATTCACTAACCTAGTCTCTGATTCCTTTGTAGGTTTAATTTTTGGTAGCAGATGTATTTGAAGGAATCGCAAGAGAAATGAAGCATCAATAAATTTAAGTATATATAAAATAATTATGAGTGGTTATTCGATATTTTAATACATCAATTGAAACAATCACTTATTTTTTTTTTGTCTTCGATCGAGTGATGATGAATTACCATTACCCGTGAGATTGTTATATATTCAATAAATAAAAGTTTCAATAAATAGGAAAGTAAGAAAATTTTTTATATTATGTCTCATTATTTCAATTTTTCTCTTGTTCAACCTTTATTTTATTCTTCAAATTAATATCTTAATCTTAGAGAAACATGAAAATAAACTATCCGATATACTTTCTTTGTGAGAATCATATATGGCAGTACTTTCGTTACTTGTACCGCCGGTACAAGTAAAAAGTACGTACTTTTACTTGTACTTCGTTACTTTTTAAATTTAGTACTTTTACTTGTACTTTCGTTACTTTTTTAGGGAAAAAGTACAAGTATTTGTAACGGAAATTTTTTCTAAAACTCGGTAAGCTTTCTAAAAAAAAATATTAAATTGAAAAAAAAATGCTTATGTTTTTTTTTAATTTATAAAATTAATGTGCAATATACATGCATTCACAGCTAACTTCGTGTTTAAATACCTTCTGTTTCAACTTATACTGCACATTCAATTATTTTTTACTAGCTCAAAGATCACAAAGCTATCTGAAACCCCGTGTTTGCTTTGTTTATGTTTGTGCTTTTAAAACGCGTTTCTAAAGAGTAAAACAATTTTAAATCAATGGTAATTTAAATAAATAAAAATAATAAACTAAAAATTAAAATCAATAGATAAAATTTCTTTTTCGTGCAAATCCATAAAAAGTTTGATATTAAAATTATATTTGATTTTAAAATTATATTATACGATTATATTATAAAATTATATTATAATATTCTTCCGAATTTAAAAATAAATTAATATCCATAACTTTCAAAATTAAAAATAATTAAATAAATAACAACAATTTTGCAAAAACATTAAAGAACATAAGAATATTATTCAATAAAATTTTAGGTTACATTAAATTTTCGATTTCCTAGAAATGTACTTTTAAATCGTTACTTTTTTTGCTTAGTACTTGTACTTTTTACTCGTTGCTTTTTAAAATAAGAACTTTTTACTCGTTACTTTTTTTAAAAATACTTGTATTTTTACTCGTTACTTTTTAAAAGTAACGTTGCCATATATGGTGAGAATCAAATCTATCTCGCATTTAAATCATACGGTAAATTATTATACTTTCATTTTCTCTTTACAGTGTAGCATATTTTTATGTTTATAATATGAACTTTATTTCAGCGTAGGCTAATTTTGTTACCATACATACGTTGTCTAAAAACTAACGATTTAAACTAATTTATTAAATTGATATTGTTATAACGCATGTATTATAAATCTAAACGAATAT